CATTTAACGTTGAAAAGAGACTTGTCACAAATGTACACGAATGACAAATGTAGCTTAGTCTACATATCAGCACAGCGCCATCTAGCGAAAAAAAATTGCGGGCATATATATACTTTTGTTCTTGTTTCGGTGTGACGTTTTCTGCAGTTTCGTGTTAATATGTGTAATTTTCAATGGGTCAATCCGTATATTAAATTTTTCCAAATTTAATGAATATCCGTTTTTTAAATGGTCATATTTGCGTATGCTATATATATATATATATATATATATATATATATATATATATATATATATATATATATATATATATATATATATATATATATACATACATACACATAACAGACACACATATATATATATACACACACACACACACACACACACATATATATATATATATATATATATATATATATATGTTTGTGTAGGTGAGTATGTATATATCCCACATTATTACCGCCAGACACGGCAACTCCGCAAGTAAATTATTGGATTTTAATTTGTTTAAAGCGAGTAGAATTTTGTAAACAAATTGTGAATTATTAACTAAAGTAAATCATTTATGAAAAAAAACTTTCAAAGCTCTTATCTCCCGACGACAACTTTCGCAGATATACCGTTCGTCAGGTGAAGATAAATCTATTCTAACTACCCTCTGCGCTCTCTCTCTCTCCCTCTCTAACTAGACAAGCACACACACACACAGACACACACACACTTATATATATATATATATATATATAAATATATATATATATATATATATATATATATATATATATATATATATATATATATATAAATATCTGTAAAAGAAAACTAAGAAAAGTATAATCTTTCTACATTTGGCTACGAAAATTTTCACATGTCACTCTCTCTCTCTCTCTCTCTATATATATATATATGTAATTGCATCCGTTTGTCACGAGATAGCATGTATCTCTACCTGGAGATTTATGCCTTCTCCAGGGTGCAGACCTGGCAAGGTTATTTTATGACACATCGGCATTTACCCATGCAACACTTCTCTATTCCACCACTATCGATAAAGGCAGAAGCCATACAACATTACACGGGCATCGTCGCTGAAGGTGCTAAAACGAAATTAATCATAGACTGATAAGTCTAATTTTAAATTTATAGCTGCCTTTCTTCTACTCGGGTTGCCAACCATGTCTACAGTGTGCAAACTACCTTGGTATTTGCCGGCAGTTGGAAGTTTTGAATTCAGAAGCTTTTTGACCGGTTGTCAGCAAACAAATGCATCCCTGAAGATAAACCCCGACGAGATTGAAAGTACTTGGGAAAATAAAAGAAATGAAAATTATTACGGCTTCTACCTTAATCGGTTAATTAACTGATCAGTGAATTTGAGAGGATTAAGATAAAAATAAATAGACAGAATATGAGTAGATTATGTAACTGCTTGAATAAATATATATATATATATATATATATATATATATATATATATATATATATATATATATATATATATATAACATAATATAAAAGGCAAACACTAATATTCCATGGTTATAATTTATTACAGTGGAATCATAATCACAATCCAATACATCACACCTACGATTACGATTCATCAGACCTATGATTACGAGCCTTTTAAATTATATTCTTACTCTGTCCAGGACATTGAGGTCTACCAGGCATATATATATATATTGAGGTATATATATATATATATATATATATATATATATATATATATATATCAAGCTTACTAACCATTACACCAAGCCGAGGTGTCGTGGCCCCATGCATACCTGACGAGCTGATAGAAATATTCATAGATATACGATTTGTTTTTTTACGGTTTATCAACCCTTTAATAATTATTTAAGGCCGAAAAATATTTTGGGTTTTAAGAATAATTCTTTCTTTACATTCAAGCGATCTGGAAGAAAGAAAGAAAACGAAGAAGAAAGAAAGAAAAATAATACGAAAACAGGTCATAGGCGAGCACACACACGCACGGCTGACAGATAACAGGTGTCGAAAAATATTCAGGTCAAGCATCTGACCGATTTCCGCGGATCCGCGAAAAATGGAAGTTTGTTATCAATTGGTTGTCATCCAAAGGAAAAGAATGAAAGGAGGAAAAGGAGAAACGAAGTTTAGGGACAATGAAAATATTGATAAGTAATAAGTGGGAAGTGTGTCATTGGAATGATAGTAAAGGTCTAAGTGGGTGGGGAAGTGTATCTAAGGATATGAAGACAAACCATTAATACGAAAACATAGACAGTCTCCAGAATTAGAAAATGCCACACAAGGTGTTGTCGCTGGCAAATTTTTTTTGAGATAATAAAGATTTGTATTATCAGACCTTCGAGCGGAGGGAAAATTAAATATTTTTATTCCGTTTCAGAAACGCCAACGAGTCTGAGAAATTCCTTTCTTAGATCATATCCAATTAGCGATAACCTGCTTGACAATTACCACGTGTTAAAAAGCCGAGAGGGTCATCTCAGTCGCTCATGATAAGGGCGATTTAAATTAATATTTTTGTTTTTCAAGCAAGGTGTTTCTTTCCCAAAACAAAGCCACGGACTGTCCACGCCCGACTAAAGACGTCATTGGCTAAATAAGATTACATGACATACGAAGGAGGAGGAAAGATACCCGACCAGGACTTCATTGGCCGAGAGCGGTCACGTGACGCACGAGGAGAATCGGTCGACGCCCATGTCAGGAGTGTAAGTGTAAGGAGCCGATACGAAGAAGCGGGGAAGCAGGCACACGCCCCTCAGAAGCACAGTAAGGGAGTGGGAGTGAGAGTGAGTTACCGAAAATGGAAAAGAATGAAAAATCCCTAACCAGAAATAAGAAGGGTGGATACGTATTTAGAATTATCGAAGAACCCCTGGCGCCGACAGACCCACCCCAGTTTTGACTGCGTCAATAAAAACGAGACCCCAACAGTTCAGCGGACGGCGGGAGAGTTTCAGCCGCGGACGGCAAGCGGAGTGGAACCGCGGACGGCGGTCCGATTTCGGTCGCCCACTTTGCGGGCAGGAGAGGCCAGTTCGTTTGGCCTAAGTGAAGAAGTTCGTCCGACCCAAGCCGAAGAGAAGAAGTTAGTTCGCGCACCGACGGCGGAGATGAGTGACCAGTAATTCAGACTCTGGAGAGAAAGAGTTCAGTCGCGGACGGCGAAAGAGTTCAGCCGCGGACGGCGAAAGAGTTCAGCCGCGGACGGCGAAAGAGTTCAGCCGTGGACGACAAGCAGAGATGAGCGCCCAGTGTTGAGACCGCGTCAAGATAGCTGACTAAGATTCACGCCCACTTCTGGACTCTTCTTCAACCAAGAACAAGTAGTTTGAAGAGCGACTTAGAATCAGACCACAGAAATAAGTTTTTTTTTTCGACTTTCCTCCAAAGACAGACCGAAACACAAATTTCTTAGAGAGCAGACAACTTGAAGCCTTAAAGTTGCCTAGTAAAAAAGCGTCGTGCCACAATCCACAGAACGGGTCGGGGAAGTAGACATAGTCCTATGTACCGAGCAAATAGACATAAAAAGTTTGTTACCTTTTTCTTTGATACGTTGGACCTTGTGAGTTTTATTTTCTTTTCTTTTATACATAATTGTGTGTTATCACCCCGTTGGACTCAACTTGCATTACGGCCCCAACCCCTGTTTGATCTCGTCTGTCTAAGATCAATTCACAACGTGGGTAGGCAGACTGGGGATCAGTGCAGTTACCCTGGTAACCAGGCGTTGGAAGCGGGTTGGGAACGGCGAGGCTGGTATCAATCTAACCAAAGGGTTAGAACATCACGTTTGGAGCAGCGAGGAGCGAACAGCTGACGCCGCGGCAAAGATGTCACAGTTGGTGCTGTCCGTGACCAGGATATCAGAACCTGGGGAGCACGTGACGTCACAATTGGCGCCGCGACCGGGATCGAACGACACAGTCGACGCTGCGACCGGGGGACGACGTCACAGTGTATATATATATATATATATATATATATATATATATATATTAGTGAGTTCGATCCTCACTGGGTACCCCATACTTTCGGCCTTGTGCCACATCTAAACTATATATAAAGAGTGAGAGAGGTAGTGAGAGATAATGATGCAGTTAGACATTGTATACATAGGAATCAGTACTTCCTTCTGTGAAGTGTCGCGCTGTAAATCGATCTTCCAGCTTACTTTACCTCAGACAGGCAGTCACTTTAGAATGTTGATTCCTATGTTCACTCTGTCTATATCTCTATTTACAAATTCTATATATCCGTGAAACTATGTCTGAAAGTGAAAAGTTAAGTAGTAAATAACAAAACATAGATGATGAACCATTTTGTGCATTTCAAAATTATATTTAATTAGGTAGTGTATAAATTTAATTGCATATATAAGGATAGACTTGTAGATAATTTCTTCCACGCATCTCAACTTCAAAATAATTAACACTGAACACCATCCACCTCATCTAATGATAAAGTTGTAGATTATATATCGCGTAGCAATTGCTGACTTCCTTCTGCCAGCCTCCCAAATGGCATACGTAAGGAATTAACGACATCCTTAAAAAAAACTTTCGGCACCGGTAGCGAATTTTGGCAATATCTTTTTTCCTGATTCATTTCATGCAAGATATTTTGTTTTGGTAAAATTGCCAATTATTCTAGCAAGTATCACTTTGTGACGGCGTTTTGCTAAAGGTCATATAACTTATGCGTGAAAATGGATAAGAATTTTTTTTTCTCTTGAGTGGTGGAGCAATTTCTCATAGGAGTCTGTCTGTTTTATTTAAGGCAGACAAAGCAATTTGGGGTGGGCTGCATTTGAACAAAAGAAGAAATTGTTCGTAATATCGTCTTGTAAAACCTACAAAATAATTCTTCTTCTCGGTATCGTGTCCTTTCCAGAATTTGGCGCTCAAGGCTCTCCACAATTTCCTATTCTTTGAAGCTCTTAGTAAATTTTCTCTGTGTGCTATCTCTTCTAAACGTTGAACTGACGGTCATATCACGATGAAACATCGGTTCTTATAAGATCACTGAAGTTAAGCAACATCGAACCCGGTCAGTAACTAGATGCGTGACCGCTCGGGAATAACTGATGCAGTGAACTTGAATGTGCGTGTAGTGTAATGGATAACTTTTCTGAGTCTAGACCCAAAATCAAGTCGAATTCGTTATATTTGCTTATGCACTAATAACATGGGGAATTTTATGGATTCACATTTTCAGCACTCCCAAGCTATAGATTATTATTAGGAGCTTTATCAGAGAATCATTATTATATCCCAAAAAATCCTACAAACTGAATATATTTTCTTGCTTAAAAACTCTAAAAAGTGTTGATAGGCCGTAAAAAACAAATTAGTTAATAAATCATTCATAATCTCTGTTATGCTAACCATTTGCACAGGAACTATAGCTTTAGCCTGCTTTCCTCTTGCCTTCAATATATGCTGTGGGTGCAACATTTTCGAAACCCTCATTGTATGCCACAGACTGTATTACTTTATGAACTGTATGTGCAAACTGGATGGAAACAGCTTTTAAGAAAGTGGAAATATCTAAGAATCACAGCTTACAATATAGTACCCCAAAATATAATCGATCGCATAAGGATATACACCCTACTGCATAAAATAGGTCTGAACACAATCGCCCGTTTAATAAAGAGTCAAACCGTTATATATAAATACATACATACATATATATATATATATATATATATATATATATATATATATATATATATATATGTGTGTGTGTGTGTGTGTGAGTTTGTGTTATGTATTTTGGCAGCAATCCTTCTTTCATGCACATTTCATTGAATACCACAGAGGAGGTGCTGTTATTTAGTTTTTTATACAATTTCTCATGCGATCAAATATTTCTTTTGTCTTTTCGGATGCTAAATTATGTAAAAACTGTCCGGGTGTACTTTTTATCCGAGCACTTTCGGTTATACATTTAACCATTTTCATGTATTAAATATTTTAATAGTTAAAGAAGAAATAGTACGTTGTATGTATGTTTTTCCTTTATATATATATATATATATATATATATATATATATATAATATATATATATATATATAAATTTAGGTTAAAAATATTGGAATGCTTATTAATAAAAAGAAAAACAAAAAACAACACTTAATAAAATTAACTTTGAACATGGACACTATATATTGACCGGGTTTTGAAAAATGAAAACATTTTATAATACCTACATACAACAAACTTATTTCTTATTTAACAGCTAAAATATTTAATTTTTGAAAATGTCTAAAGAGGGTTACAGGGAGTGAAAGAGAATGAGAATACTGAGAATAGGGATGATTGAGAAAATTGCAAACTATGAACAGTGAACCAGCAGACATTATATGGTGATTGGTGTTGCATTTAAATTTTTGATGATTGTAGTTATCACGGCAGCCAGGAAATGGGAGTGTGTTCCATAGGCAGAGAGTGCGAGAAAAAAAAACTGTTCTTGTAAAAGTGGTAGTTGCATTTAGCAAAAGGATGGGACCTATATGCCAATCTAGTAGCAAGCTTAAATTCTTGTATTAGGAACACCAGGTTTAAAAATCTGGTCGCATCAAACGAAATCTATTCAAATCAAATGTGAGAAAGAGCTTTTAGGGTGGATATGATTAATCACCCACAAAACCTCGTAGAAGTTTTAATCTCTATCATTGCAGGCAAGTGATGACTGAGCAGGTCCAACCCAAAAAATCAGTAATACACCAATTTTGTTCAGATCTGTCTTTTGTGAATATAGAGTATAGCATAAAGTTTTCCATATATTATACAGTGGCCTAAGTAAATATTTTGCCCAGGAGAAATAACCTGATCCAATTTCAAAATTTAATTACGTAAACCCTATCCAACATAAACAAACAGTATTTGGAACTAGAATGGAGTAGGTTCTCCATTTGCTATTTTCAGTGTTTGTATTCGATTTTTTATGGATTTGATTAAGTTATCAACAATCGTGTGAGCCATATTTTGCTACTCCCTAAGCAATGTTTCTTTAAGAGTTGCCATTGTGACGTGATTTTGGTTGTACGCTCTCGAAGTTTTCAGTCAAAGTGCTCCCAAACGTGCTTTATTGGATTTATGTCAAGATTTTGGGCTAACCTTGGCAGTGACTTGATTCCTTGTGATTCCTTCCTGGCCTATGCTATTTTGCTCATATGACATGGCGCTCCATATTCTTGAAGAAGGTAGACATTCTTGTCAATCTGATTGGTTTCAAATAGTGGGAGTTATAATTTCTATTTGACAGTATTTTGTACCATTCAACCGCTCGTCAACAAGAATCAGCTCAGATTTCCCTCCAAACCAGACAATACCCCACACCATTACTCCAATCTCTCCATGTTTCACGGTCGCTTGCAGACATTCAGCGTTGCAAGTCTCATTCTGATTTCTCCAAACATAAACCTACCTCGAATTCGAATATTGGCAGAATTTGCTTTCATCTGACTAAATTACAGACTGCCAGATTTCATGATCTTTGCTCTCGAATTCTCTCGCCCACTCCATGCAAAGGTCTCTGTTAACCTCTGAAATCAAAGGCTTTTTTCTTGAAAATCTTCTTTGATAACTTAACTCTTTCAGAGTCTTTCTCACCGCATATGGCGACATTTCCGTGTCTTTGGCGACAACTTTGACTCTCTTTGACGACGGTTTCTGATGATTTCCTTATTCAGTGCCATTTTTGTTCGCTCAGACACGATGCTTTGTCTTCCTGAATGTTGTTCCAAACGACAATTGCATTATTTATTAAGTTTCTTGACAGTATTTCTAACTGTTTCATGATTATCCTGGAAAAACCTAGCAATTTCACTATTTGATTTGCCATGCTGAATGCTTCCTATTATATGCCCTTGTTAAAATTCACTCATTTCCTTACTTTCACGAAATTTCATTGCAAGATATAAGTTAACTATTGTTCATAGATAAGAATAGCGTGATACTTACACGGTACTATCTGAAAAAATAGAAGAGACGTTATAACACAAGCCAAAATTACTGTAATCAAGGGTGGCTAAAATCTTATCATAGCCCACTGTAGGGCCCGTAAGAATTTTATGGGACTTTACATCACACACAAAACAATCAAAGCTAATCATCCACTCATGGGTATCAAAGATCACAAGGATATAAAGTGTTATTTTTTTATTAACATGGCTGTCCCTGCAGCTTGTAATGTATCTTGGAAGGGTGGCTAAAAAACTTATCATAGCCCTCTGTAATCTGTGAAAGGCGAGTGCAATTCAGAAGGCGTTGCCGGGGAAGTAAACAAAAATTATGCACCAGTTTATATGAAGAAAACTAGAATAATCTCCATTGATAATTAGACATCACCTTAAGCTAAAATCAAGGTCAGGGAACTGGATGAGGAATTCGCGATAGATGTGACTGGAAATGAATTTATTTAGCTAATGTTTGCTTAATGCGAAGCCAACGGACCACACAACTGGCTTACGAAATGATTTGGGAGGAATCAAATAGGAAGACTTCTTCTTTAATCGAAAACGTCATGCTTAAGTGGTCGGCTCAGGTAAGATTGCTTGTTTGGGAAGGCTAAAAAACCGGTTCGGAGAAGGGGAATCATAAAGGCTTCGATAGAATGAGATATTTTCTCTACACTTATTTTGTTTACTGCATGATTTAGAATTAAGGATATACATGTAGGGAAATATAAATACGACTGAAAGAGCACTCATCAAACTATTTTTTTATCGTTCCACCCAAAGAAAGTCGATAATGGCATTGGGACGCTAAAACTGCGACAGAGTGAAAGAGAATGAGATAGCAGTAGTGCCGATTAGTGAGGAATAGAGAAAAAGGTTTAGGGAGACAGAATAAGTCGATTTACTTTGCATTTACATTTTTTGAAGATTGTAGTACTCGGATTGAGGAATCCTTACTTATATACTTCGGTCACTGACCCATGTAAATCATGTTACCAATTACCAATTTGTCTGTCTATTTTTCCTATCTCCCAGTGAGCTTTATTATTCCCAAAGACACGACAAAAAAAAACTTTTCACCGAACTTAAAGCGCTTTTTAAGCACTTTATTTCTATTTCCGGCATTAGTTTCACTCGGAAGTAATTTGTCAAATGCCGATTTTATTTTCCTGGCAAACATGACCTCTGCTGGCGCCTTGGCAGATGGAGCACTACTATTAGGAGTTACCCGATAAACCTGTAAAAACTCTTGTATAGCGGTGGAGTAATGGATACGGGCTCGGTTTGAAGAATCGGAGAGCCGAGTTCGAATTCAAGTCGAATCCACTACATTCACTTACGTGCCAATACCCTTGGAAAATTCATGAATACTCATCTTCTACCCCCAGCTATGGGTAAATAGCAGAACAAACCGGGTTCTATAGCCTTGGATGACAACTGGTCTATCGCAGAAAGAGATGGCAACCTACTGCGGGAAAAATCTGCCTCATCAGTCATGTAACGAAAGATACATGATCGCCTAAGCGTTTATCACGCAAGGCAGATAACTGTCTGACAGGTGGCAGCGAAGCGAGAAATCAACGGGAATTCCACAGGAAATAGTTGAAAGAAATGAAATTATAAAAATAGAAATGGCGGCTACATCTAGCTAGTTCAAGTGTAAAACGGTGAGACCTAGATGCCGATCTAGTAGCACGCTTAAGTACATGGTGTCCCGCTATCAGTGAGAAAAGCTCAGCAGAAGAGATGCCATAATATATTTGTAGATTAGACAGAGAGAGACCAAGTCACGTCGGCGAGAAAGTCACGTCGGCGAGAATGTCACTGAAGTCGAGATGCCTCGTCAGCATCGCTTATATTACAAATAACACTTTCAATTTTGTTAAGAATTTCGAAATATAGTGTAGAATCACCAGGCCAAATATAGTAGCAATATTGTTCAAGGCATGACAGGAGAGAAGATGGATTCTGACGAGAAATTAATTTTCTGGGACGACAGAGTTAAACGAATTCCCTAGCAGTAGACGTTGATAGGTTTTATATTAAATTTTACATTAGTTAAAATCAGAAAAGGTTTTACGTAAGCGGACAGGGAGTGCAAATTTGAAGCAAAATACAGCAAC